TTTCACTAACGAATTGGACAATGCCGATCGACCTTAAGGAATTAGCTGATGACACCAATAATGAAAAAAATTCTTCGATAAATGAAATTACGGAATCAGTCACGATGATCGATGATCAAAAAATAGGCTATTGCAGATATGGTCTAGGAAAATGTAATATGTTGTTCATTTGTGGAGGTGTTGGTAAGCATTGAATGATTTTTTTTTCTCATAAATCTCAGAATTAAGATTTTTTATATCATTGAAAAAAGTTTAACTGCTGGAGCCTTTTTCTTTGTTTTTAGATTTTCCGGAGTGCTTTTTTTTTCTTGCTCACAATTCTTTGGCTTAATAATGAATTTTATGATTGATTTAGAAATTGAATTTAAAATTGTTAGCAAAATATTTGTTTAATTTTAAATCAATAAGTTAGAAAAAAATCAGGTGATAAAACTTCTTAATTTGATCAAGAAAAAATCAAGTAACTGAGCAATAAATTAGTAATTGAAAATTTTGAGATAAAACAAAAAAAAACAATAAACAATTTCAGGTTGTTATAAAAAGGATTTCCCGGAAAAAGTTTTGAAAGCTTTTAATCCAATGTTTTGTTCGATAGTTTGCATTGATCCACCTGGCTATGGTACTAGTCGTCCTCCCAATAGGTTGGTGAATTCATATCATATGATCCTCCTATTTGTCAGTTTTTAATAATAACTCATTTATTAAATTATTTATTTCATCAGTTAGCTGAATTAATTTGCAAGCATAAAGCTGCTTTGCTTTTTTAACAAACTAAAAATATTTTTCAAAATTTAGTATTTTTACAAATTTGAAATTTTTCATTCTTTTAGGCGACAAGAAATAAATCGATGTATGAAAGATGCACCTTTCTGTATTAAACTTATGCAAGTTCGATTATTTCATTCAATTTTTTTTTTATTTGTAGAAGAAATACAAAAAAAAAAAGTTTCATTAAATGATTACGATATAAAACTGCAGAAGTTTCAGAAGAGGAAAATTTGAAATAAAAAAATATAATTTGATAGTGCATTTCTTTTTCTATAATAAAAAATCATTAAAACAGTATCGGAGAATTTGTTAAAAAAGAAAATAAGTTTAATGATAACTTAAATTTCATGATAGAAAGAGAAAATTCGACCTTTTTAATAAAGACTGTTCTATATACAATATTTTAAAAAAGTGTTCAAAAATTAATTATTATAAACGATATGACAAGGAGAATATTATAATCACTTAATTTTTACAATATTTAAAATGACACTTGTAAATATTCAAATAATCTTTCAGCAATTAAATCTAACACCTTTCACAGTATTGGGATGGAGTGAAGGTAGCCGAACAGCAATTCACGTAGCTGCACGTGGAAAGCAACTTGTCAACAATATGATATTGCTTTCTGCAGCTACTCGTATTGATTCACGTGCTGCACGAGTCACTTATGGTAACAAATTATTTTAAAATTTTTCAAATTTTTAATTCGAAAAAGTATTTTTTTTGAAACAATCCCAAGATT